GCGTGGCCGTGTCCCCCGCCGCCGGCCTGGCGGACGAGCGGGTGGAGACGCGGGTGGCGGGGCTGGGCCCGGGGCAGGCGGTGACCCTGCGGGCGGTGGCGGCCGACGAGCGCGGCTGCCTCTTCCAGTCGTGCGCGCACTACCGGGCGGACAGCCGCGGCGAGCTGCACCTGGGCACGGACGCCTCGCACGGCGGGGACTACACCGGCGTGGAGCCCATGGGGCTCTTCTGGAGCCTCGCCCCCGCCGGCATGGAGAGGCCGTACCAGCGGCTCGTTCCGCGCAGCACCGGCACCCCGATGAAGGTGGAGATGTTGGTCCACCAGGGCCACAGCCTGCCCGGCGCCATCCCCGGGACGGTGGTGGCCAAGGCCGAGGTGGAGAGGTGGTTCACGGCCCCCGGCGTGCGGAGGATCCGGCTGAAGGAGGGAGGCGTAAGGGGCTCCCTCTTCCTGCCGCCGGGTGAGTGCCCCGGCCGGAGACCTTTGCCCTGGGCCCGGCGGGACCCTTCGGCTTCTCTGTCCAGAGCAAGGAAAGTCCCTTTTAAAAGAAAAACATATCAAGGACAGCACCCGGGACATCCATAGTCCCTAATAGCTCTGAACGCCACCCTGCAGACAGGTGGCCGGTGTTTTTTTCCTTGAAATCTTAGGGAGGCACTCCCAAAGGCTTGTTGGGACATGGCCCTGCTTGTGTGTGGCCACACTGCCCGGTCCTTACCGGGCAGGGCAGGCACGGGCAGGTGGCTCTTGTGAGACAGGCAGAAGCTAAGTGAGAAGAGGGGCTGTGGTGTTTACCATGTTGCTGCTCTCAGTCTACCATTTTTCAGTAGGTTTGATGTTTGCTCTGGACTGCCAGAATCTGTAATGTTCAGAAAAGCTGAAAGGCTTCATCATGTGAGCCTGTGCTAAACCCCCCCAAGGATTTTACCCTGAGTAGAATTGAATCAAAAAGGTGTTTTTCTTCCCTGTGAAACACATGCAAGTAAGCAGAGCAGCAGAAGAGATTCTAGAAAATAGGTATTCTACCTCTGCTACACCAGAGCCAAAGCTAAGTTAATAGTTGAGTTACTTCTGTTGTTCTGTGGCATAAAGGCAAAACAGATTTCTGAGCAAGTTCTACCTGTTCTGCTTGTGGGATACTTGTGCTTTATGAGGTGTGATACTCTGATGGACTGCTGGTGGTGTTGGAAAATGAAACCTTACAACGATGATGGTGTTTGTACACTTGAGCCATGATTTAAACTTCTTGTATTTCCCTGACTGTTGGGCTACTAGAACTGCCCTCCATATTACCTCTAATTTGTAGCGACTTGGTTCAGCAAATCCCCCAAGTACCACTACAAGTTATTAGGGATTTAAGTATTTTCAGTGAATGATTTCCAAACCGATAATCTCTTTATCCATTTAGATACGGATCCAAAGTCCACTGAAGAAGAAAACAACAGAGATTGAACTTTGAATTTTGGATGAAATATTTAGTCAGCATTCTGGATTTTCCATCACTGAGATGTGGTTGTTTTGATATATCCTGTGTTAGCGGATGAGCTGGATTTCTGCTGAGCTCAGTGGGAATCCAGAGATCTGCAAGATAGAACTGCATTTTTCCCTTTAGAAAGTCTGGTGTTGTAATAGTGTGGAAAAGTCTGGAATCATTGCTTAAATTATACTGGCATCCTTCTTGATGGAGGATCCAGTTACAGCATTGCTACCATACCTTTCTTTGCTCCAGGGATGGAAAAATGTTAATACTATTAAGATAGGACTCTTAAACATGAACCGTTTTTAGTAAAAGTGAGATGACGTGAGTGGGCTTATGCTGTAGTTTTAATATGAAACTGATTTCTCAATTCAGGCATAAGAGTAACAGGTGTGGGGTTTTGTTTGTTTTTAAGCAGTAGTAAAGTTGTCTAGCTCCTTTTATCCTGGTTTTTAGTGAGCTATGCAGAAACTGTATACGTGGGCATGTGTAGGCACTCAGGAAGGCAGTCCAGGATCCTTGTGTATGTTAAAGGCTGTCTTCATGAGAGAGAAACACATTATTGCTTTACTGTGTTCTGATCGCATGTTCTTGGTAGAAAGCTTTCCAGTTAGGGGTGACCAATGAATACTTCTTTTTCTAGCCACCTAGGCTGACTGTTGTTAACTAAAGGTTACTGTTGATCGTGGCATTATGATAAATTTATCCAGACCAATTTTCTCTCAAGTAGAATATTGAACTTCTGAGAAATATTTCAGAACTTAAAGAAAACCCCAGAGCATGTTTCAGTCCTTTTCTGACTTGCTTTAAGTTAGGACGTTTCCACCATGTAGCATGCCTTGTCCAAAACTTCCTTTTTTCAAGCACCTTGAAATGCCAGAGGTCTTTTCTTTATTGCACATAGGTAATGTCAGAGAATTAATGCACTCTTGCACAAGCAGGTACTTTTTCCGCTGAGGTGGTTGTAGCCAGCTGGATCCGAGTGCATCAGTGGTGACATCTGGTGGCCAGGAAAAACAAAAAAGTAAAAAAAGAAATTGCCTGCCTGGGGTCTTTACAGTTCCAAGAGGTAGTAGTATCCTTAGCGCTTTAACCTAACATCTCCTGGTGTGGCGTACAATAATATCAAAACACGATCTTGGCTGCAAAAGCATGCTCGTTTAAAATTGTGGTTCTGATTATTTCTGTAGTTCTGTGGGACTGACTGTATACATGTATATGCATGTTTATCTATGCATCAGTCATGCACACCTAACTGCACCCACATAGCTCTCAGTTTTACCCGCTGTCTCCTCACATCTGCAGCAGCAGTTCTGCTGCCAAGTGTTACAGTGCTAATGTTGAGATAGAGCTGGTAAGTTCAGTTGATTTCATCTAGCAATGGGTGTCTCTCTGCTGCGCTTTGCTCAATGTACCTTTTTCCAGAGTTTGTGTAAGTTTTGTAGAATTTACTTCCAGGGCTCGGTGCTGTTGCCTCATTAGTAACGAGCGTGCACTTTGCTAATTAAGGTCTGACTTCTTTGTGGGAAAATAGCTGATTTAGAATACGATTGTTGTGAGGGTGGGAGGTTAAGACCATTGAGAAATACATTTAGAACTTTTTTTTTTTTAAAGAAGCAAGTTTAACTGTTCACATTTTTACAGGAAGGTAAGGACCTATTCTTAGTTTGAAATAGCTAAAGTGGGCTATAGCACTGGTTCTCTAATCTCTGCTGTGCAAATGGAAAAGTAATGAGTATTAATAGAAAATGTCTTAAGCCTTCTATATTTTGTTGGTCGCTCTTCACCAGATAGTTTTTAGTGTCCTGTTTGATAAGTTGTCCTCTGTACCTCTTCTTTTTAATATAGGAGATGGCCCCTTTCCAGGAGTGATTGACATGTACGGTGATGAAGGAGGTTTGATCGAATTTAGATCCAGTCTCCTGGCTACCCGTGGTTTTGCTGCTCTT